TTACCCCTGCAGTCTCCTGTGCCTGGGGGTCTGCTCACCCCTGGGGTGTCTGCTCACTCTGGGGGGCTTCTCATGCCTGGGGGGCTGTTCACCCTGGGAGATGTTCACCCCTGCAGTCTGCTGTGCTTGGGGGTCTGCTGGCCCTGGGGATCTGCTCACCGGCAGCTCAGCACCTCCTCTGGCTTCAGCATTTTCACCGCCTCTATCTTGGGCTCTACATTCTTGTCCATGAGGCTCTTCAGCTTGCGCTCATAAGAGGCTTCGGCGGTCTTGCCTGTCCAGTCCCTCAGGAGAGTTGACTTCCGGGAGCCAAAGATGGCATCCTGCAACATGGGTTCCACGACGCTCTGTCGGCGCATGGAGCGCTGGGCAAACTCCAGGGGGTTGGCATCCTTGACGTCCACCTCTGCAATTAGACAGCTGTCACCAGGGAGCTATCGGCTGCAGCATGGCAGAGGGTAGGTGGGGGGCGGTGGGGGGCTGCTGAGAGGCTGTCTGGGCTCCACCCAACCCTCCAGGTCCTCCAGGTCCTGGTGGGGCACCCACCTGGCGCCCTCCCCAGCTCCCACCTGCTTCCTGTTACCCTCTTTCCTCCTCTCCCTCCCCAGAGGGAAACTTCAGCCTGGAGGGGCCAGGGAAAGCATCAGAATACAACAATGGGAGCTGAGTCTTAAAGGACAATGGTTTAGCAGATTAAAAAGAGGGAAAAACATTTCTGGCAGGAGGAACAGCAGGGATTAACCCACAGCATGGAAGCCGAGGGGCCAGTGTTACCCCAACTCCGACTTTGTATAGATGCGGTGCCATCAGGGCTTGGGACCTCTGGTTTTTATTTATTTATTTATTTTTGTCATGTCCAATTTGTTTTTAAGTATTTAACAGATTTTTGCTCATAGAATGAAATGCTTTCTTTCCATCTCAATTTCTAACTGGACCGACTAATTTAGATGAGAGTTGTTTGAGGTTTTTTTTTAGTAGTAACAGTCATGTACCAAATTTTTCTCATTTCTGACTAGATGAAATCATCTCAGGGGAAAAATGAAAATATCTGCCTGCAATATTTATACAAGTGATCTACTCTTCTTGACATGTTACATTAGACAGACTTCAAAATACAGTCAAGGATAATGGCAGTCTTGCCTCATTTTGTTCCGGATTGCAACGAAGGTGATTTAGCATGTTGTCGTTAGAATGGTATTCAGTTTCTTTTTTATAATAGTTTTGCTTTTAGCTTACAGGGCTTTTTTCTTTTTTTTAAATTAGCAATACCTATTGATGGGATCACATGACTTTTCCTTTTTACAGCCCACCCCCCTCTACCTCAACCAGTATCTAACTCCCTGGTGACATCCACCAAGAAGTTATTGATAAGAAATAGCCTGATATTGATGATGTAATTTTTTTTATTAAACTTAAAAAACATTATTTAAATATTTATTTATGTATACAAGAGCTGGAGACCAGAGGCTTCACCGGAGACAGAGTGGGGAGCAGAACAGGCAGATTGACGAAGTACACTGCTGAGGGGAGCAGCGGGCGGTCAGGAGAGGGCTGCTGTGCCGTGTGGGTCACTGGAGCGAGATCAAACTCATGCTGCAGTAGCTGCAGAGAGCTTCACAGTGCTGTGCTTTAACCCCTTGCACCACCAGGGAGGCCCTGCAAATACATTTATTTACCCCTGGGCTCAGCACAGGGTTCTGGAGCAGCATCAGGCATCTGTAGGTGCAACTTCATTCCCAGGTTGATGCTAATCTAGTTCATTTCCTTTATAAGCAAATGTTTTCCCTGTTAGCTTTCAGGATTTCAACAATTTGCGAGGATTTTACCAGGGCCTGTGTAGGGAGAATTACTCTGACCTCCTAAAACTCTGTGAGTGAAGGGACAGCAGTTGGAGAAGGCTGTGCCTTCCCCAGGGCCTTGTAAGGAGGGTGTGGCTGACCTGGAACTGTCTGTGCCCCGAGGGCACTGCAGCCCCACCGCTGAGCCCTAACCAGGTGATAGGGCCAGGGACCTGCGCAAACCTTGTTGGTGTGTGGTGGGAACTGGGGAATCTTAAGCTGCACGTCCTGACACAAATGGGAAATCCCTGGGAGAAAGGGATTCCATCGTCTTTTCTCGACCCAGTCTCCTGGATCAAGGTCAATCTCATGCAGGCAAAGGGCGGTAGTAGCGAGTGCTATCTAAATATATTAGATGACACCAGTTGAGCGTCTCATCTGAGGAAGTGTCCAGGGGTCTCTCTAGCACAGGCTTCACGACAGTGTCACCACCATATTGTGCCCATTGAACACCTGAGAAAGTTGAGTTCAGCGAGATGAAGGATGGACCCACGATGCCAAACCTAGGTAGTAAATGAGCCACGAAAATGCCACCAAGTTGCTAGTACATTTTCCTGGGGGCAAGCTGTTGCCTGCCAGCCAGAACAATACATGCCAGTGGAGGGGTTGGGTGGCATTTTGGTGGCTTAAGGGGGCGAGTGAGAGGCATTGTTAAAATGAGGTGAGATGGGGTCCTCCCTGGTGGCGCAACTGTTAAAGTGCAGCACTGCAAGCTGGCCGCAGCTGCTTCAGCGCAAATTCCATCCCCGGCCAGGGAGCTGACC